CACTCCAGCCTGGGCAATAAGAATGAAACTCCATCTAAAATAAATAAATAAATAAATAAATAAAAGCTGATTCTAACGTTTATATGAAAATGCAAATAACCTGGAATAGAAAAAGTTAATTTGACAAAGGAGAACAAAGTTGAAATACTTATACTATCTGGCTTCAAGACTTCTGCAAGAGTGAAATCACTTCTGTAAGGTGAGATAGGAGGTTCCCCAGTTGGATCCCCTTAAAACAACAATTTCACAGCCATCCAGAAGAAAAAGGGCCTTTTTGAGTATCTTGGGATTCAGGCAGGCATCCGTGAAACCCAAAGGAACCCAGGAGCTACAAGGGTTGTTTTGAGAAGGCAGACCCACACCCAGGTGACAGACCTGCTGATCTGGTCCCAGCTCCCTATTCTGGTAGAGGCCCTATTCCATAAAGGGCTTAGGACCAGAGACAGCAGCCATGCAGGGACTCCTTGGCCTCTGGAGCTGCAGGGAGCTCTGGCTCAGGTGCATCCAAAACACTCCCAGAGCACAGAGTCCAGGAACCGGGAGCTTTGCAGGGTCCTACAGAGTGGAAACCTGGGAGGATTACAGATTGTACACACAGAGGGAAAAACAAACCCCACAAGTGAAATATATAAGCCTATAAATATTTGTATGTACATAAACATTTATATTCTAAGCTTAAAAATGATTCATGCTAGAGTTTATTTATACAACTATGACAAATAGAAGTGTGTGCATTTATGCCCTGTCCACCTCGTTTCTGTAAAAATGCTGCAGACACACCTGCTGTTCTGTACCTCACTCTCTTAGCCCCATATCTTGCCTCCCTTGACATATGTGCACACAGAGGAAGACACATTTTAAACGATCCCCTTTGTCACTGATTCAGAACTGGTTGAACCTGAGGCTCATTTCCTTAATGAGCCTCAAATATTCTGTTCATATATACTTTCTAATATTCTGGGGTTTTTTGGTTTGTTTTTTTTCAGATGGAGTCTTGCTCTTGTTGCCCAGACTGCTGGAGTGCAGTGGCACCATCTCAGCTCACTGCAACCTCCGCCTCCCGGGTTCAAGTGATTCTCCTGCCTCAACCTTCCGAGTTGCTGGGATTACAGGCACCGGCCACCACACTCAGCTAATTTTTGTTCGAGACCAATCTGGTCTCAAACTCCTGACCTTGTGATCCGCCTGCCTCGGCCCCCCAAAGTGCTTGGATTACAGGCGTGAGCCGCTGCACCCGCCCCCTCTAATAGTCTGTAAAGCAGGGGCCCCCAACCTCCAGGCAGCAGACCGGTACTGGTCTGTGGCCTGCTAGGGACCGGACCACGCAGCAGGAGGTGAGAGTGGGTGAGTGAGCAAAACTTCATCTGTATTTACAGCTGCTCGTCATCACTCTCGGTACTGCCTGAGCTCTGCCTCCTGTCAGATCAGAGGCAGCATTAGGTTCTCACAGGCGCCTAACCCCTATTGTGAGCTGCATGTGCGTGGGATCTAGAGCGTACGTTCCTTAGGAGAATCTAATGCCTGAGGATCTGTCACTGTGTCCCATCACCACCAGATGGAACCCTCTAGTCTCAGAAAAACAAGCACAGGGCCCCCACTGATTCTACATTACGATGAGTTGTATAATTACCTCATTATATTTTACAATGGAATAATCATAGAAATAAAAGTGCATAATAAATGAATCATCCTGAAACCTTGCCTCCCCTCCCCCTGACGCAGTCTGTGGAAAAACTGTCTTCCATGAAGCTGGTTCCTACTGCCAAAAAGGCTGGGGACCACTGCTGTAAAGGCATAGGCGGGTGTGTGTGAGCTGAGGTTTCCATGCTTGGGGTGGGGGGGCATTCAAGCAGAAACTATCAGGGATGCAGTAGCTGGGCTGTGCAGAGCTCACCTCTTCATGGGACACAAGGCTGGGCCCCATGGGATTTTAGTTCCCAGCCCCAGAACAGCTGACGTCTCCTCCCCAAGAGTCCACCTATGACTCAGTCTTAACATCCAACAGGTGTCCAAATTTTCTGTTGCTACCTGACCATGATAACTCTTCTAGATTCAGGCCAAGCCTCCTGTCTCAGGAGGTTGCTCCCTGAGCCATTATCCACAACCAAACAGAGCAGGTGGTGAGGACAGGCTGGACCTTTAGGGCCCTTCTCCCAGACAGTGCAAGGCCATGCCTCTGCCCCCTGCCGGATCCAGGTCAGACTCCATATCTGGCTTTCACAGCAACCGCAGCAACAGCAGGAGCAGTGAGTTGCCCTTGCTGAGCTTTTGGTCTGTTTGGTGCATTCTGCATGGATTGTCTGTTTTAAGTACTGCGACAATCATGAGAGACGGGTGCTGCTGAAACGCCCATTTACAGACACGAAGGCGCACAGCCCGGTGGTGAGGGGGCACAATGTGAGGCTGGCTGGGTGGTCTGGGTAAGCAGCCTGGCTCCACTAGTTGTCCGACTGTGAATGGTCACTTAAGTATTTTCCAGGCTTAGTATTTCATTTGTAAAATGAAAAACAAGGTGGTTAATATATTTAAAGGACTTAAAACAGGCTGTGTGAGCTATGTTGGTACATGGTGGTGGCCGCCAGTCCTGCTCTAGGCTGCCTGCCCATCCCAGGCACAGAGGAGGTCTGCAGTGAGCCAAGCCTCTCTAGCCACTGGGGACACTTCCTTCCATGTCCCTAGGACCCTGCCTGTTCATGAAACTACAGCTTTGCTCTCTGAGCCTAACAGAGGGATCTGCCAGGAGGTGAGGTCTGTCCTTGCAGAGGGGTGGGGACTCTGGGGGATGCACCCACCCCACTGAAGACGTAGGGCCAGCTGCCTGAATCTCCCGGCTGATTGAACTGGCAATGGCGGTGGGTGGGAGAGATTTGAAGTCTCCCCAACATCCAGCTAGTGTCAGGAGCACTATCTTCCCCACCATCCTGCTCAGCAGCTCTGCTAGGAGCCCCATCCTTCAAGACCCCTCCCTCCCAAGTCCACCCCACAGGGCAATTCTGGACAGGATGCAGGGAGGGCCAGGAGTGGAGCCCTGGATCTGTTGGGAGGAGCACCCTGTGTGTGGAAGGAGGAGCCAGGTGCTGATCCAGTGGCCTCCAGATATTTCCCCTCTGAGCCACCACCTTGCCCTGAGATTCCTCCATTGTAAATGTCCCTGTGTCAATTTGGCATTGGCCCTAATGAACGGGTGCCGAGCAGCACAGCAGAGGAAAAAGGTCTGGGCTCGAGGGTCTCACAAACCTGGCTTCCTGTGAGCTCTGCAACTTGGGCTAGAGGTCTGCCCTCCCTGACTCAGTTTGCTCCTATGTTCAACGGACGCCTTCACTCCTCTGGACGCCATCACTCGGGTCTCCAACAATCCCAGGGCTCTGGCCCAGAGAACTGAGGGAGGCTGGTGGGAAGGCTTTGGGCATGGTGATGCAGGTGAGCATCTGACACGAGCAGGTGCACTTGACCTAGAGTAAGGGACACAGCGGGCATGCCTTTATCTAGAACTCCCGCCACACAGTAGGAGTGCTTTGTGGAGAGCGCCTTGCATACAGTAGGCATTCTTTATGTCAAGAACTTTGCACCGAGTAAGTTTATGTAGAGCACTCGACACATGGAAAGAACACTTTACGTAGAGCATCGGGCACACAGTAGGTGCCTTATGTAGAGTACTGGACACACGGAATCACAGTTTATGAAGAGTACCCAGCACCCCACAGTAGGCACGCTTTGTGTAGAGCCTTGGCACACAGTAGGTGCACTTTACATAGATCACCAGGCACACAGTAAACATGCTCTGTGTAGAGCATCTGACACACAGTAGGTGTGCTTGTAGAGCAGCAGGTGCAGAGTAGGTACACTTTACGTAAGTTACTCTGTACAAATTTCACTTTGTGTAGAGGACTGAGAACACAGAGGCAAGATTTTCTGTAGAGTGTCCAGCACACAGTGGGCACTCTTTACAAGGAGCACCCGGCACACGGTACACAACATGTACACAGAGTACCTAGCACATGGTACGTGTGAATGGAACCCAGCACACAGTAAAAATACTTTGCATGTGGTCATCTGCAAAGAGCAGAGACTGACACGCAGCAGCTAAGGTGCTGGCTGCCAGCCCCTTCCCCTCACTCCGCTTTTCAGGCTCCCTCATCGAATCCTTCATCTGTCCCCAAATAAGGCCTCATCTGACATCCCATTTCCCACATGGGAAGCCTGAGTCTAGGAGGGGCTCACTGCCCACACTCAGAGCAAGGACAGGGCAGAACAAGGACTCCACTCAGGGCCCCTGGCCCTGCCCTCCCCTCCCTGATCCCATCGGTCATGGCTCCTCTCAGCCTTACCTCCCACCCCCGTCTCTGTTCTCCTATGCTGAGCCCAGCCTCCAGGTTTTCCCCTCCAGTGAGGGTCTTTATCTCTAAAATCTGTCCTGGTCACCCCCAGCACAGTTAGATACTTCGTTTCTGCCCCTGTCTGTCATGTCTTGACCCAGGCCCTGGGTTGCCTGCAGGCAGGACTTGAACTTCTGCTAGGCCATGAAGGCAGAGGCCAGAAGCTTCTGTCCGAATCTCCCAAGTCTGCAGTGAGGAACGGTGCATGGCGAACTCCTGGCCCACACGTGGAGGGGAGCTCAGGAGATGATCTGGGACAAGGGGTGGCCCGGCCCAGCTCACCTGCCACCTGAACTCTCAAGTTCATGTGCTGGGCTTGGAAGGGCAGGGTGGCTGTACACTTTGGGGCTCAGAGTCACCTTTGACTGCACCTCAAGATCCCTCCCACCTAGGTGTGAACTGCTGAGACCTGAGGATCTGGAGCCCGTGCTGTGTCCCCCTGAGCTGGTTCCTTTGCATCCAGCTGGCCTGATGCCAGGTTTTGGCTGGCTGCCCAGGCACGAAACATGCACCCATGCCAGGTTTTGGTCGGTTACCCAGGCACGGAACACATACCCAGGATGTGGGGATTGGCTGGCCCAGCTCAGCTCGGCCTACCAAAGCCTTCTCTAAATCAGGGACCAGGGGCAAAGCTCTCCCAGCAGAGGGGAATAGGAGATTGTGCAGGACAAGCTGCTCCTGACAGAAGGTGCCAGGCTGGGGGTGGCAGGGCTGGAGGGTCCTGGCCTGGGATGGGGAGGGGCACTGCCCAAGGCTGGGGAGACTGGTGATTGCCTGGTAACTGGACCCCTGGCAACCTCCCAGTGATTCAGGCTGGGCCTTTCTGGATTCTAATGAGCCACTCTCCCTCTTTGCCTTTCTGTGGAACTAGAGGCCACTTGGCTGCTGGTTTCTGGAATTTAGATCTCAGCTCTTATTGACCCATCTCAGAGCCCTCCCTGCTGTATCTCCAGCACAGCCCCTCCCTGCCCCTCTCCACTGTCCCCTGAGCATCCTTGACTCTTCCCTGGACCTCAGGACCTCACCCTCCATCCTGTGCGCCCTGAAGGATGTCGCTGCTGAGCCTGTCCTGGCTGGGCCTCGGGCCGGTGGCCCCGTCCTTGTGGCTGCTCCTGCTGCTGGTTGGGGTCTCCTGGCTACTGGCCCATGTCCTGGCCTGGACCTACACCTTCTATGACAACTGCCGCCGGCTTCAGTGTTTCCCACATCCCCCGAAACTGAACTGGTTTTGGGGACACCAGGGCCTGGTGAGTGTGGCAGCTGGACGGTCTGGAATCTCAGGGTGAATGCATTTCCTCAGGGGCAGGAATGGGGCTCAGGGAGCTGGGTTATGAGGGTGGCTGGGGTCTGGGAACAGAGGGAAGAGAGGGAGGCGGCTCATTCATTCCTCTCCCCACTCACTCATTCCTCTCCTCACTCACTCATTCCTTTGTTGTGCCATCCCAAGTCTTTCTTTCCTCCCTGACCTCGCACTCCAGCCTATGTGAACGTTTTCCCTGCCTGTCTTCCCTGCATGACAGCACCTCTGAGGGGCCCCCATGGGAGGGGTTTTCGGTGCACAGAGCAAACATCCCTTGGCATTTGCACCTTCTCCACTGCTGGACTGGAGGCCTCCTGAGCCCACTCTCCAGGGGCTGCTCCCATTTGCTTGTGTCTGCCGGTGTCTGGGCTGCTGCTTTCCCACAGGAGTCAGCTCTGAGCGCCTTCCTCTATGCAGGGACACAGCTGGGCCAGAAGAGAAGTGTGGGCATCTCCCGCTGCCTCCTCTTCCTGAGGCACCTTCCTCCTACCTTGCTCTTCCTCACTGACAAGTCCCAGTCGGCGTTGCTGCTGGCCTGAACGAAAGCTGGCCACTCTCTTCTCTTCAGAAGCTGTCCTCGACTCCCCAGACCTCAACTTGGACTTAGACCTGCTCTCCCCTTTGGGGGACATGGCCTTGGTCTGCTCATGTGTAAATGACATGATTGATGGGCGTGTCCACGGTGCAGTGGAGGGTGCCCAGGTCATGATTGGACGGGCATGACGTGCAGAAGGTGATCACTGTGGACAGTTAGAGTCAATTCTGTACTCCTCGGGGCTGCTGAGAATGGAAGGTCCCCAGTGTGGGAGGAACAGCAGCCCCTGCGGACCAGCCAAGACATCAGAGGACGTGGGAACCAGCCACAGGGACGAGTCCTGAAGCCACACTGCTGCCCACAATCCTCCTCCCAGAGGGGCTTTTCCATGTGGCCACCCCCAGGTTGAAACCATTTCCAAGACAAGAAAATACATCCACTTGAGCAGACAGCTTGCCTTCTCCCTCTGCTTCAGTATTTACCCTTCCTTCCTTCCTTCCTTTTCTTCCCTCCCTCCCTCCTTCCTTCCTTCCCTCCTTCCTCCCTTTCTTCCTTCCTTCTTTCCTTTTCTTTCCTTCTTTCTTTTGACAGAGTCTCTCTCTGTTGCCCAGGCTGGAGTGCAGTGGCATGACCTCAGCTTACTGCAACTTCCACCTCCCAGGTTCAAGTGATTCTTGTGCCTCAGTCTTCTGAGTATCTATTGGGAAGCTGGGATTACAGGCATTCCCCACCACGCCCGGCTAGTTTTTGTATTTTCTGTAGAAACGGGGTTTCACCGTGTTGGCCAGGCTGGTCTCAAACCCCTGAGCTCAAGTGATCCACCCACTCATTCCTCTCCCCACTCACTCACTCATTCCTCTCCCAAAGTGTCGGGATTACAAGCACGAGCCACCATGCCTCGCCATTATCTTTGGATCTTGGAGAGAGCCCCAAGAGAGGAGCAGGGGTGAGCCGAGATTCCCCGCAGCTGTTCCGAATCCAGATGTGCTGCTCAGGGCAGGGGCTGCACCACATCTGGAGGCTGCGGGGAACTCGCCGTGGCTCCTCTGGGGAGATGCATTAGGTGAGGTTCTCCCCAGAACCAAGTCAACAGGATATCTTCTCTGCTACCTTTCAAGCATGTATGAGAGGGACAGAGAGAGGGAGGGAGTTAGTTCATTATGGGAGTTGGAAAATGTGATGATAGAGGGTAAGAACTCCCATGATATACCATCTGAAAGCCGGAAACCAGGGACTCTGGTGGTGTAAATTCAGCCTGAGTCCAAAAAGGCCTAGAACCGGGACTTCTCATGTCCAAAGACGGGAGTGGATGGATGAGCCAGCTCCGGAAGAGAGCACAAATTCACCCGTTCCTCTGCCTCTTTCTTGTATCTGCACCGTCGAAGGCTTGGAGGACACCCACCCGCCTTGGGGAGGTGGATCTTCCTTCCTCAGTTTACCTATTCAAATGCTAATCTCTTCTGGAAATACACTGACGGACGCATCCAGAAATAACGTTTTGCCAGCACATTTTATCTGGCATCTCTTAGCTCAGTCATGTGGAATTCACGGTTAATTGAGGACACCTAGAATTAACCATGTCAAGGGCTGACAGCCTCTGCCTTGCTTTCAGACCGCTCCCACGGAAGAGGGCGTGAAGAGGCTCATCCAGCTGGTGACCACCTATCCCCAGGGCTTTAAGTTGTGGCTGGGTCCTACTCTCCCCCTCCTCGTTTTATGCCACCCTGACACAGTCCGGGCTATCACCAGCGCCTCAGGTACCCATGCAGAGATTGTGGTGGGCGCTGGGAAACATGGGAGGCCTTCTAGCCTCTCCTCCCCCCAAGCTTCGGTGTGGCCCCTGCGGGACCCTGGCCCCTCTTCCTGCTCTCTCGGCCATGTTCCTCTTTCCTTCAGGTATTCAACCAACCCCCATCTCAGCGTCTCCTCCCTCCACTGCCATCTGTCCCCGCCTTTGTGTTCTGGGTAACACTGGGGCCCCAAGAAGCCTCAGTTTAGGGTCCCATCCTCGAGGAAACCCCATGCTTGAGGAAGATGGATCTGGACAGAGACATCTCAAACTTTGTGGAGTCAGGAGTCGAGAGAAGGAGATGGGTGTGGCAACCCGGAGAGCAAGGTCTTTGCTGGGGCAAGCTAGAAGACTTCCTGGAGGAGGAGTTGCTGGAAAAACGAGTAAAAGGTTTTAAAGCAAGGGGAAGTGTGATGATTAGTATCCAGGCCCCCATGTCAGGCCTGGCACCAACCTCGTCTGTCCCTAAGCCTACAGCACGAGGGGGATTTCAGGCTGGTGGAGAATCTGGGCTGCTATTTATGTGATGTCCACCTCTGGTGAGTTTATTCCTTCTACCTCATCCTGTCACTCATCCACCCTATTCATTCCTCTCCTGCTCCAGGGCCCAGGAAACTCGAGCGGGAGATCCCACCCCAGTCCGAGGCCCTTTCTTTCCCTCTGCTCATCTTGTCCCTGGACAGGCCGAGCTAAGCAGGGGCAGGGGCAGTAACCTACAGAAATTATGGCTGTAACCTCAAAACGCTGAGTGACTGGGCAGGTCCTCAGCTCTCTCTGGTTGCTGAAGTCTCTTTCAGTTGTGAGTGATGGAAACTCAAACCCATGTGGTCTAAGCAAATGAAGCGAATCAGTGGGCTCTAAAGTCCGGGTAGAGTGGTCTTCTGGCATAGTTGGATGCAGGTGTCCCTCAGTCCACATCACTGGGAATCTTTCTCTTGGTTTTACCATTCTCTATGTCACTTTGCCGTTTCTTATGGTGTCAACGATGAGTCTCAGAAGCCCAGTTCCAATCAGAAAGCCCGTCTTTCCCCAAGGGTCCCACAGACAGCCTATGCTTCCTACATTATACTTGACTGTATCTGGTATATGCTTCCACCTGGGATCATACGGAGAAGTCAGCATGTGTGGGCCTCAGCTGTGGCTGAGGACCTTTGGGGCCTGTCAGAGCCTTTTTGATTCTTGTCTGAGATGTATTGTGACAGTGTCTTTCTATCCTGCTTCCCATGTCTTGGCCACGTTTGGTGCTTGTCCAGGGTGTAGGACCCAGGGTCTGTTTGAGAACTGTCTGAGGTATTATTTGTGTCTTCATAGAGTTAGGTCTTAGGGTAGATGTGAATTATGCCTGAAGATTGGTCTTGGTTACACCTGGGCCATGTTTAGGGTATTAATGTCATCATATTTAAATGTTATCTGGGACCCGTCACTGCTTACACAGAGGTCATATCAGATCATCTCGGGTCCATGGCAGTGCATGTTGTGTCTTCTAGGGTTTGTCTCGTGTGTTTTGGCCACGTCAGTGAATGTTAACAAATGTCAGGGCAACATTCCAGGTCCCAGATCCATGTCAGAAGAGAGTAGAGCATGCTGGAGGCAGACAGGGTGTCCTGGGTCCGAGTAAAGGCATTCAGTAGAGCACTAAGCTATGCTCAGGTGTTGGAGAACACGCTGGAGCATGCAGGAGTCCTGTCGTGGTGTGCTGGGGCATGCTGGGTTATTGCTCTACTCTGCTGCTGCAGCCTGGTCCGGTCTCTCCTTCCCTCCGCCATCTTTCTGCTGTGCTGGGTGGGGAGGGTGGAAGTTCACACCCATGGCTCGGAGCATTCCTCCATGCTCAAAGTCCTTCTCTCACCCCTGTCCATGACCCTGATGGTCCTCAATCATGTCAGCTGCTGTTGCACCAAAGGATATGCTTTTCTATGGCTTCCTGAAACCCTGGATGGGTGAGTAATTGCAGGTGAATGGGGCCGAGTATATCCTTTAGGGATAGGGGAGGGTGCTGCCCTTGATCACTAACCTTGGCTGCCCTGGTAGGGGACGGGCTCCTGCTGAGTGCTGGTGACAAGTGGAGCCGCCACCGCTGCATGCTGACGCCCGCCTTCCACTTCAACATCCTCAAGCCCTATGTGGCAATTTTCAACAAGACTGTGAACATCATGCACGTGAGTCCCCCATGGCATTCAGTCGCCATGGTGACCCCGCCAGAACCACTTGCACGTCTCGGCCACTTCCCGAGCTACTACCCACACAGGGATCCATGGCTGGCAGGTACACGGCCTGGGAGCATTTGTACTCTGCTGCCTGGGACTGGGGAACGCTGAGATGCCTGCCAGAGGCACCCACCAGGCCACCGCGCTCCCCAGTTCCTGCAGGCCCCTCCCCGCTGTTTTCTCCAGCCCACACTGCGCGCACTTCAGCCCTGGGGCTCCGCTGTTTCTCCGTGGCAAGGAGCGAAAGGCCCTGGGCCATGCTCGCCCGCTCTGCCCCACAGGCTCCCTCATGCTTTAGTCCCAGAGATAATATCCGACGGATAGAGGAGGCAGAAAGCAGAGAGAGAGCTTGAAGGTAAAGAAACTGTGCTTTTAATTCTGGCCAGGCCGCACCCCTCGGAGCCGGTCCTGCCTCTGAGGCACCGCTGCCCTGTCCCGCTGTCCTGCCTGGCTGTGCAGCTCCACGTGTTCATAAAGAGACAGGACAGAATGGGGCCAGTTTTACTCAAGATTTTGACGTCTTCTACTCTGGCTCCACCCCTTTCATGGTGTACCCCGCCCCTGCTGTACCCCTCTCCTGGCTGACTCTCCAAAATGTAATATTGGGGTTCACAGGTTCAGGGTGCCCTGAGCTCCCCGAGAGGACGTTTCTCCAGGTTCTTGGCCTCCTGCCCTCTCAAGAATGAGAGAGGGGACCACGGCACAGTGCACAGTAAATGCCGGACTCAAAAAGTGTTTGTAGAAAGTGATTTATATAGAGAGAGAAACAGGCGGAGAGAGACAGAAACAGCTAAGTCTCACGCTGAGTGAGAGAATCCAGAAAGATGGGATCCAGGAGAGGAAAGCAGCTTCCACACTGAGTGCAAGGGAACAGACAGAGATGGAGTTTAGGAGGGAAGACAGGCTTACACGAGAGACTGTAGCAGGGGACCCCAGAGGGAAAATCCAGGAAAGAGAAAGATGGCTTCCACGAGTGTTCGTGGAAGGGGACCCCAACATGGAGTTCCAAGGGGTGTAGAAGGAGACTTTTAACCTGGGAGGAACCCACATCTTCTCCAAGAACCCTGGCCAATGAAAGGAGTTCCTGAGAACTTCCGCTGGAGTGACTCTTAGTTTCTTCCCGTGCCTTCGAACTTCAAACATAAACCATTAAATCTCCCAAATGGAGAGAGATGAGAGGGGGGCATGGGGCTGGGAAATTCTTGCTCTTAAAACGACGCCCCCTTGTGGATCCTGGAAAGAGAGCACCTTCCCTCAGGAGGCTGAGCTGGGACTTGATCCCAGGTCTCTTGACTCCCAGCCATGAGTCTTTACCTCCTAATAGTTAACAGTCTCCGCTCCTATGCAAGGCTGGTCCTCCCTGGGGATGGGTGCCTGGGGCAGGGGAACAGGAGGATGATTGCAGGGCGTTGATCTTTATGTCTGGGTCTGGGAAGGAGCTCTCAGGAGGCAGTTCACAACTTCAGCTGTTTTTTTTTTCCTTCTGGCCAGGACAAGTGGCAGTGCCTGGCCTCAGTGGGCACCACAAGACTAGACATGTTTGAGCACATCAGCCTCATGACCTTGGACACTCTGCAGAAATGTGTCTTCAGCTTTGATAGCAATTGTCAGGAGTGAGTCCTTCCCTTGGGCCTGAGAACCTGGGCTGCGATCTCAAGGGAGTAGCTTGGAAAGGGATGACTGACCAGGGTAACCAGAAGTGCCTTCCTGAAGGAATTGTGTCACAGCTGGGCTTTGAAGGGTGGGGAAGGCGAGACAGGAAGCATGGTCCTTTCAAGTAGGTAGAAATAGCTGAATATAGGCAAGGTGGCTAGGATGAGGCAAGCATGTGTAACAGGCAGTAGAAATGAGGTGGTGGAAATAGACGGGGCTAGATTTCAGGACACTGAAAATCAGGAAAAGTGGCATGAACTTTATCAAGAGGTGCCCAGGAATCTTTTGAAGGGGCCTGAGCTGATGACAGGTGCAGTCACAGCTGAGGTCTGCCCGTCATGTAGACACAACATGGGGCTGACATTGGATGCAAGTCGGTTATGGTAGGGGCTGAGCCAGAAAGAGTTGGAAGATGGTGAGGTCTGAGTTTTGTGAACAGTGTTCTGAAGGAAGAGTCCAGACTGGATAGCGGGTGTGAGACACAGGAGAGAAGCATGGTGTGCAAGCTGTGCTCTGGGTACCTAGGTGCATGGAGGCAGCTCTCAGAGAAGGGGTGCCTGGAGAGAAGAGAGTTTGGAGAGTCAAGTCTCCTGGCTGTTTCTGGATGCTCAATTTCCTGATGGGCAGTAGATTGTAGCTGCTAGTGAGACGGGCTCCTGGGACATTGCATATATTGTTACCTCCTTCATGCAGGAAGCCCAGTGACTACATAGCCGCCACCTTGGAACTCAGTTCCTCTGCAGAAAAAAGAAACCAGCACTTTCTCCTGCACTCGGACTTCCTGTATTATCTGACTCCGGATGGGCGGCGCTTCCGCAGGGCCTGCCGCCTGGTGCACGACTTCACAGACGCCGTCATCCAGGAGCGGCGCCGCACCCTCCACACTCAGGGTACTGATGACTTCCTCAAGGACAAGGCCAAGTCCAAGACTTTAGACTTCATTGATGTGCTTCTGCTGAGCAAGGTGGGCTTCTCTGGGATGTGAGTTCAAGTAACAGTGGACATTTATGACAATGTCAAATGAAAGGGGCTGGAGTCGATCCAGAGGGTGCTGGGAGCCATGGAACATGCTTGAAAAAGACAGGTCGGAGAGAGGTTTGAGAGCTGTATTTGAGAGGTGGTATTCAGCTGGAGGGGACTGCTAGGTTTGAGACAGTGAGGAGCCTGAGATTTTTCTTTACTTACATCTTAGTAAATTAGTGACACATTTCTATGTATATCTCTCTGTCTAGGTCTTTGGCTATGTCTATGATGACAGATGCACCAAACCCCTGGGTTACAGCAGTCCATTAATCATTCACAACAGTAGCAGCAACCAGAGTAGGATTGTAGAGCTGGCTCTCCATTCCCATATTCCTCCTAGGGGAACACAATGATTTACCTGTAAATACACCAGAATGCAGAGCAGAGAGGGACCCTGCATTATTACTGTAAAGTTTATTCTCTGTAGGTTTATTGCCGAGTTAAAAACGAGGACACTGAGGCCAGCACAAGAAAATCAGATGCCAACTTATTCAGCTCCCGGGCAAGGTTGTGTGGTCCCAGGGAGAGGGGCCAGGGAAGTCGAGCTGATTCCTCTCAGGAGTGGGGTTTTATAGGGAGTGAAGGCATTCGATTGGATTTGGAGAAACAGGATGTGGACGGGGTGAGCTGCTATTGGTAGGTAGGTGGGACTTCCGGTGAGCGGGCTAAGTGCAGAGCGCAGAGGGGATTTCCAAGGCGGAACTAGATGATGATTATATTCTGATAATGTAATTTTCAAGCGGGGAGGGAGATGGGTGTTTTCGAACTCCTGGCGATGCAACCAGCCTTACAATTACATCTTGGAGCTTATATAGGACAGCCAGCAATCTGCCCCTTCTTCCTTTCAGGGCGAGAATGAGAATGAGACAGAGACAGAGACAGAGAGGGAGAGAGAGGAAAGAGAGAGAGAGAAAGGTTTGCTTTGTTCTGGAGTAAAAACTACTCCTCTCCAGGGAGACGATCATGCCCCTAGGTTTATAGGTTTGTGACCCAGATGCCTTCTGGAAACATAAGGACTCTCTGGGCTTACCACTCTAGAATGTGAGCAGCTATCCTCAGAGCAATACTTGATTTCTAACCTCCAAGCCAAATTGCCATCAAAATATGCTGTGACCCAGGTTGCAGTAACGCTTTTCTCCAAAAGTCCTCATTATCCAGAAACAAGAAAACATCCATAGGTCACTGACTCTTCCCAGCAGGGCCACATAGGAGGCAAAGAAGCCAGGGGGTTGTCTGTGGGTGGTGGGCTCTGACGGTGGTGCCCAAGAGATATCTAGGAGTGCATGGTGTGCTTGGGTTTCTGGAAGGAGGATGGATCTTCAGTAACTGTTTTAGTTTGACTCAAGAGCCCTCAGAGCTGGTGTGATGTGGGGCGTGGGTATTGTCTTGCCTTCTCTCCAGGATGAAGATGGGAGGGAGTTGTCTGATGAGGACATAAGAGCAGAAGCAGATACCTTCACATTTGGGGGTGAGGGTCTCAGTGTGGGACTGCAGTGGGGACAGGCGACTCTCAGTTCCAGAGAAGTGGTGGGTGGACCCTAGATCACTCCAACTGCCCGTTCTCCCCCTCCCTACCTTCTCCTGCCTGAAAGTATTGGTGCTATCCACCCTCTGGTGCCGAAACAGCCCAGAAACCCAGTTTTGCTTGGCTGCCCCTCAGGCTCTGACACCACGGCCAGTGGTCTCTCCTGGATCTTATACCACCTTTCAAGGCACCCAGAATACCAGGAACGCTGCCGGCAAGAAGTCCGAGAGCTTCTGAAGGACCGTGAGCCTATAGAGATTGAATGGTGAGTGCAGGTACTGGCCTGTTCCTGATCTTTTCTAATTGGTTCTGCTCCTCAGGCGAGGAGCGGTGGAAGAGGTGTTTTGTTTGTTTAATTATCATTTCTTCCATTATCACTTAGCGGGAAAGGTGCAACTCCCAGAGGCAGGGCTGAGTACCCAGCCTAGCCGGCAGAGGATGGTTTGCAGGCTTTGGGGACAGAAAGACCTGGGCTGCTGGGAGAATTGCTGACAGTATGCGAGGTCAGATGATGCCACTTAGCCTATGTTCAGCAAATGAATTTCTCCTCCACTTCCTCTTTTCATTGAATTATCATTGTTTTCAAACATCTTCACTTCCTGAATGTTTGCTCTTCCGTACCCTAATTTCAATCCTGTTGTTCAGTCCAGGGATTTGTAAGAAAGACCTGAGGGCAAAAGTCATTCATTCCCGTCCGGAACACCTGCACCGTTCATCCATCCAGTCTTCATTCAGCAAACGCTCCCACACTGCATTCCCACCCCTAGTTTTGTTTCCAGCACCTTTCAGTGCTCTGCAGACCCTGGAAGGATCCAGCCCTGCAATCTGTTTTCCAGGTGCTCCCAGCCTGGTCGGGGAACAGTCCCAGGAGAGGAAACTCCCAGCCCATATGGGCGGGAATGAGGCTGAGAGCAAGAGAAGCATGACTGCGGGTACAGAAAGTGGGACTCTGTGATACTTGGTTTTCCATTCCTGAGTTACTTCACTTAGAATAACGGTCTCCAGCTCCATCCAAGTTGTTGCAAAGGACATTACTTCATTCCTTTTTATGGCTGAGTAGTATTCCACGGTGTATATATGCCACATTTTCTTCATCCACTCATTTGTCCGCGGCTGCTTAGACTGGTTCCGTACCTTTGCAGTTGTGAATTGTGCCACTACAAGCATGCGTGTGCATGTGTCTTTTTCATACGCTGACTTCTTTTCCTTTGGGTGGATAGCTAGTAGTGAGATTGCTGGATGGAATGGTAGATCTATTTTTAGTTCTCTGAGGAGTCTCCTTACTGCTTTCCACAGAGGTCATACTAATTTGTATTCCTACCAGCAGTGTAAAAGTGTTCTCTTGTCACCACACCCAACATCTATTGTTTTTTGACTTTATAAATTATGGTTATTCTTGTAAAAGTAGGGTGGTATCTCATGTGGTTTTAATTTGCATTTCCCTGATGATTAGTGATGAGTGTTTCAAAATGTGTTTGTTTGCTGTTTGTACATCTTCTTTTGAGAAATGTCTATTCATGTCTTTTGCCTACATTTTGATGGGTTATTTATTTATTTTTTTTGAGATGGAGTTTTGCTCTTGTTACCCAGGCTGGAGTGCAATGGCGCTATCTCAGCTCACTGCAAACTCTGCCTCCCGGGCTCAAGCAATTCTCCTGCCTCAGCCTCCCGAGTAGCTGGGATTACAGGCCTGCGCCACCACACCCGGCTAATTTTGTATTTTTAGTAGAGACAGGGTTTATCCATGCTGGTCAGGCTGGTCTCAAACTCCTGACTGCTGGTGATCCGCCTGCTTTGGCCTCCCAAAGTGCTGGGATTACAGGCGTGAGCCACCACGCCCAGCCAGGTTATTTATTTATTTATTTATTTTACTTGCTGATTTGTTTGATGTCCTTGTAGATTCTTAATACTAGTCCTTTGTCAGATGCATAATTTGCAGATATTTTCTTCCACTGTGTGGGTTGTCTGTTTGCTGATTATTTCTTTTGTTATACAGAAGGTTTTGACTTTAATTAGCACCTATTTATTTTTGCATTTGCTTTTGAGATCTTAGTCATGCATTCCTTGCCTACGCTGACTTCCTCTTCTCTAATATTTTATTTTGATTGAACTAGCTCTTCATAATTTTTTTCCAAAAATATTTAGAGCAAGTTCATCGAGTTCCTAAAAATAATCATTTGCACTGAATATATTCTCATTTGACCTTGAATATATGATTGATATGTGAAAAACAGGTAACATCATAATATTGAAATGTAGTTTGTCATAGTGAAATGGTTATTAATCCATTCAAATAATGTTTAAGCTTTTAATAAAGCTTAAAATATTTGCTTAGTCAACATATGCATGTTTTGTTAAATCAATCTTTTCATATCTTGTTGCTATTGTGAAGTGTATCTTTTATTCAGACTGAGGGAACTGTATAAATTCATTTGAAATACAGAGACTTTATGTCTCTTGTTTAATTCAGATATTTCTTCTTATTATTATTTTTCATTATCTTTTCCGGCTGCTTTTTATTTCTACATGGGAAAACTAATAATTTATGCTTGCAAATGGAGTACCCAATGAACACAATACATGATAAAGATGGTGTTTTGTATCAAGAGAAAAAACACAGATTATTAGGTAAACGTTTTTGACACAGGGACGTTTTCTGGAGAAAAAATCAACTCAACCTGGTTGTCATGTCTTATAATAAGACAATGTTCAGATTACTCAAGCTTATAGTTTTTTTAGAGGGTGTTAAAAGCTCTAGAGGAAACCATAGGAAAATTATTTTATAGATCCAGAGTATGGATAATCCTATTTTGATACAAGTCCCAGGAGCTGTACAAGAAAAGACTGACATACTGTTAAATGAAAAATGATACAGAATATGTATATAGTAACTGATGTACTCATATTTTTATGATGCTAAAAATTAGCTCTAGAAAGATACATAGAAATAATAATAACTCAGGCAACCTGTGAGGAGAAGCAGCAGGTGACATTGGGCCACAGGGGTGGATGATGTTTTATACTTTTCAAATTTTGAACCACTTAAGTGTACAATGAACCATAGAAAACAAAGATTACACAAAGAATTCAGCTCCCTTACTAGATCTTAAGTGTTTATAAGGGTTTTTCAGTAAAGTGTCCTGTTTTTCTAAGTATAAAATCACCATCTGCCAGAATGATACATTTCCGTCCACATTTCAAATTCCTCTTTTTTTTCGCCTTGTGTAGTTGCATTTGCTAGTATCTCTAGTACAATGATGAATATGAGCAAAACACCAGATCTGGGTATTTTGTTTCTTATTCACTTGCATTTTGTGTTTGCTTTCTTGTCATAAAGAACATCTACTTTTATGCAAGTATGTTAACTTTTTTTATAGCTGCTTCAGAGTGTTATGTTTTCCTCAGAATAATCTTTAATAAATTAATTCAACCATTATGGAAGACAGTGTGGCAATTCCTCAATCATCTAAAAACGAAATCCCATTTGACCCAGCAATCCCATTACTGGATATATATCCAAAGGATTATAAATCATTCTACTACAAGGACACGTGCACACGAATGTTCATTGCAGCACTGTTTACAATAGCAAAGACCTGGAACCAACCCAAATGCCCATCGATGATAGACTGGATAGGGAAAATGTGGTACATATACACCATGAAATATTACACAGCCATCAAAAATGATGAGTTCGTGTCCTTTGTAGGGACATGGATGAACCTGGAAACCATCATTCTCAGCAAACTGACACAAGAGCAGAAAATCAAACACCGCATGTTCTCACTCATAGGCGGGTGTTGAACAATGAGAACACATGGACAAGGGAGGGGAGCACTACACACTGGGGTCCATTCGGGGGAAATGGGGGAGAAACGGGAGGGTGGGGAGGTGGGAAGAGATAGCATGGGGAGAAATGACAGATACAGGCGAGGGGACGGAAGGCAGAAAACCACACTGCCATGTGTGTACCTATGCAACAATCTTGCATGTTCTTCACATGTACCCCAAAACCTAAAATGCAGTAAGAAAAAAAAATTGGCTACATTTCTTTCGGGTAATTTTCTAATTCTCTGCTTTCTAATTTTTTCTACTTTTTTAATTCCTCAGTATTTCACCCACATAGAATTTATTTTGTGATAGGGAGAAAAAGTCTCCCTTGGAAACAGAGAAGCTGGAGAATCCTGTTCGTTCCCTGGATAATGATTGGGGCTGGGTGTTTCCTTAGGGACGACTTGGCGAAGTTGCCCTTCCTGACCATGTGCATCAAGGAGAGCCTGCGGTTGCATCCCCCAGTCCCAGCCATCACCCGACGCTGCACCCAGGACGTGGTGCTCCCAGACGGCCGGGTCATCCCCAAAGGTGCTCACAGCCTCAGTGAGAGGAGCCTCCCGGGTAGGAAGAGGGGTCCCTCAGGTAGGGGGGCCTTGTCCTGACTGCCCCTGTCTCTCCCACAGGCGTTTCCTGCCTCATCAGTATTATCGGGATCCATCACAACCCAACTGTGTGGCCAGATCCTGAGGTACTGCCTCCCTCACCCCACCCTTTTTGGGGTCCATTCCAAGGTTCCTGGAGGAGCTGACAGGGTTTTGACCAGGGAAATCCAACATCACCTCCCCTCAATGGACACACATCTGCCAAAATGTCTCTCCAAGGCTGGCAGACCTGGGAGACCCCACCCAGCAAGCCTTCTTGGTTTCACCTCCAGGTCTATGACCCCTTCCGCTTCGACCCAGAGAACAGCAAGGAGAGGTCACCTCTGGCTTTTATTCCCTTCTCAGCAGGGCCCAGGTAAGGGCGGCTTGTGTCTGAGGCAGGGATGAGGTGATGGGTGCGGGGGTCAAAAAAGGGGAAAGTTGCAGATGGTCCCAGACCCAGCTCTCCTTCCCTCCCTTCCTCAGGAGTTTATGGGCAACGGTCCACAGAGTGGGGTTGGGCAGGTCCTAGAGGGGTCTGCGGTGTGCTCAGAGCCCCCTCCTCTGTCTGCTGATCTGAACTGGGGGTAGGAGTCTGGGCCAGATTTGGGGGGTATGCAAGCACACGTGGGTGTCCTCGGGACACGCAGCCCCTCCCTCTGCCCCTTGAGCTGATCAGGGTGCAAGTCGGGGTCCCAGGCCAGGTTCTAAGCATGACGGGGCCAGGATGGGGGGTCATGGGCACAGTCAGATTCCCTCACTTTCGTCCCCAGAAACTGCATTGGGCAGACGTTCGCCACGGCTGAGATGAAGGTAGTCCTGGCACTCACACTGCTGCGCTTCCGTGTCCTGCCGGACCGCATTGAGCCCCGCAGGAAGCCGGAGATGGTCATGCGCGCAGAGGGTGGACTGTGGCTGAGGCTGGAGTGCCTGGGTGCGAACCCACAGTGACTGTCGGATCCAACTACCCACCTTTTTAGATTCCCAGGAATAAATCTATGCTGACACCTCTGCTTGAGCCTCATTGACAGCCAACATAGGGCTCCTGGGAACTGGTGGGATACAAGAAAGCCCGGTGAGTGGGTGGGGGCAGGGTGATGTCTCTGAACCCAAAACCCTGACTGCTTTTCTGGCTGAGCACAGGGCGCCTAGGCCCTTAATGGGTTCTCCCGGAGCCCAAGTAAAAACTTTCTCCTGTGGGCAGTAGGGAGCCCTGGGAGATGTTTAAGCAGGAGAGGGAACAGGATTAAGAATGGATTTAAGGTGCAAGACTGAGACTCTTATTTAGCGAGAAGCAACCACAGGGGCAGATGCCTTCGTCTGTCCTGGGAATGTCCCCTCAAGACTGGAGTCCCCAGCTCAGAACAAAGGGAAAGGGGGCAGTTTCCACCCTGGCAGGCTCTCAGAAATTTGTAGTTCCTTTTCCCGGCAACTTCCCACCCCTGTTTCTCCCCCTCCCAGTTGGTTCCCTCTGTGACTCTCTTCCCGTACCTTCAGAGGCATAGGATTTCAGGCCAGGCCGCTTGCGCTCAAGTCCTGGCCCTGCCGCGTGATTGGAGCAGGTTAATTCCTCTCTCTGTGACTCAGTTCCCTCAACCATATCATGGGGACAACAGTATTGCCTACATCTAGGTTTCCTGAGGTCTCAATATAAGGGACTCAGCACTGTGCCTGGCACACAATGAATGCTAAATATATGGGGCCATTATTATTTCCTCTCTCAGAAAGTCTGGCTGTTAAAGAATGTCGTCTTTCAAGATTGTTATTTCTACCATGACTTTAAAGGCTGTGTTTTGGAACTCAAAGGCAAAAATTCTAATATTGTGCTCTGTGAACAATCTCTTCTCCCTAAAGGGCTGTGTATATAAGAGGTAATTTTTGTTCTCTGAGGGTGGTGAAGGCCCCTGACTATGTGGATGGTAGGAGAATGAGAGAAACCTCAGTTAGTGTCTCAGAATAATATCCTGTGGCAAACATTGACCTCTATTCATAGCCTAAGGGAGGTTACATCACAAACCCTGTTGACTTCTCTAATCTCTTCTCTAGCTAATCTCCTTCCCTTGCTACACTCAGTTACTCTGGCCTTGATTCTGATCTCCAAATATACTTTCTCATTTGCGTCCGCTGTATTGCCTTTGCATCTTTATCATAGATTAGTTGACTGCATTTATGTGGCTCTATTTTGGGGGCTTTTAATTCTGTCCCATTGACCAACAACACCTTGGTTACTGTAGCTTCACAGTAAGTCTTGACGTTGGATATTGTCAGTCCTCCAACTGTGTGTTCTACTCCTTCAAACACTGTGTTGGTTATTCTGAGTCACTTGTCTCTCTATATGTTTTAGAATTAGATTGCTGATCTCCATCAAAAACTTACTGATATTTTCATTGTGATTTCATTGAATCTATAGATTTAGTTGGGAATAACCGACATCCTGACGATACTGAGTTTTTTGTCTTACAAGAAATCCTTAAGGGAGTCCTGCATCCGGAAGTGAAAAGAGGATGATTACCATCATGAAAACATGCAAAAGTATGAAATTCACTGGCAAAGCAGATACACTTATAAGAAGAGAAAAGAATCAAATCTTATTACTATAGAAAACCACCAAAGCACAATCAGAAACAATGAGAGAGGAAGAAATAATATACAAAACAACTAGAAAACAATTAATAAAATGACAGAAGCATGTTTTTATGCATAACTTTGAATGTAAATAGATTAAATCCCTCACTTAGAATATATAGGAATATATAGACTGGCTGAATCGGTTTTTTAAGTGACCTAACTATGTGCTTCCTACAAGAAACTCACTCTACCTGTCAAGAAACATAAAGACTTAAAGTGAAGAGATGGAAGAAGGCATTCTACCCAAGTAGAAACCAAAAGCAAATAGGAGTAGCTACGTTTATATCAGATAAAAATAGCACAGAAACAGGATAACTTCAGCAAGGGCATATAACAATAGGAAATATATATGCACTTAGATATAGAAAACAAATATTAGATATAAAAGGAGAGAGAGATTCCCATACAATAGTCGTTGTGGACTTCAATAACCCACTGTCAACACTGGACAGGTCAACTAGACAGAAAGTCAACAAAGATACATTGTATTTAAATTTCACTTTAGACCAAAGAGACTTAACAGACATTGACAGAATAGTTCATGCAACAGCTGCAGGCTACACATTTTTTTCATTAGCACATGGAAGAGTCTCCTGGATAGACCACACATTAGGCTACAAAGCAAGTCTCAACAAATTTGAAAGTACTGAAATCACATCAAGTATACTTTCTGATGGCAAGGAAATAAAGATTGAAATCAATAACAAAAATAACTTTCAAAACCATACAAATACACGAAACTTAACAACATGCTCCTGAACAACTGATGGATTAATAAAAAATTAGGAAAGGCATTTAAAATTTCTTGAATCAAATGAAAGATTAAATGCAATATATTAAAAGCTATGGAATACAGCAAAAGCAGTATTAAGAAGGGAGTTTATAGCCATAAACACCTACATCAAAAAAAGTAGAAAGATTTCAAATAAAGAATCTAATGATGCACCTCCAGGGACTAGAAAAGCAAAAGCAAACAAAAAAGTAACAGAAAAAACGAAATAATAAAGGTTAGAGAAAAAAATAAATTGAAAGTAAAAAATAAAATACAAAAGATCAATAAAACAAAGAGTTGGGCTTGTAATAAACTTAAACAAGATCAACAAACATTTAGCTAGACCAAGTAAGAAAAAAAAGACAGCTGGGCATGGTGGCTCACGCCTGTAATCCAAGCACTTTAGATGCCTAGGTGGGCGGAACACCTGAGGTCGGGAGTTCAAGACCAGCCTGACAAACATGGTGAAACCTCGTCTTTAAAAAAAAGAAAAAAAGTATTTAAAAAAAGAAAAAGAAAAAAAGGACTCAAATAAATGAAATCAGAATTGGAAAAGGAGACATGACAAGTGATACCACAGAAATACAAAGAATCATAATTACCACAGTTACATCTAAAAGGAGGATGTGAGATTTTTTTTCATTCTACGTTAACTGGAAACCAGGCATGAGGCAGATGGCTGGGAGCCATCCAGGGAATGTCCAAGACCTTACACAGAAAATCATGCTCAAAGAGGAGGCTTGTTGCCCATTCTCTTTTGTGCCCAGCTGCCTGGGTTCCCTTCTCCACTGTTTTATTTCATAATAAGCTATCTAGAGAACTTGCTCCCTGTGCTGAGCCAGGAAGAGAAATGTGTGAGCTTTGAAGGGTGCAGTTTCCTTTCGAGGAATGGAGAATATCCGTGCAAAGTCGGGGCAGCTCACAGCAGAGTCAGCTGTAGACTGTGCTGCTGTATGGGGCTGGAAGGCTTCGCACAACCTCAAAGTCCTGGGACCCAAACTTTGACTCAGACCACGGAGCAGGTGAGGCAAGAGTTGGGCAAGGTAGACCTTTAATCCACCTCATAGACTGAAGTGTGGGCTTATGGCATCTCTCCTTTCACCCACTTAGCCTCCACTCTCATTTACCTCTGTGCAGAAGGCTCAGCTAGGTGTGGCAGACATTGTAAATCCTCAACATAAATTATAGTTTAACTGGAACACAGAGACCAGGCAGGACGTGGAGAGGAAAGGTAGATATTTATCTCTTCTCCCTTATCAGAAAGAAACCTTGCATAAGAAAGTTCATGCTTAATGGGCCAAAGAGTAAATCAGAAAACTGCAGGGGTGATGGTATGCCCATGGTGGTGGTGGTGGTGGGGAGGAATTCTCTGCCCTGGGACCTCCTTTGAAGTAACTTCTCCCCAGGACAATGGGAAATAACATTTAATCTTTGGAGGTTGTTTGTACTGAGTACCTCACTGGCCTTGTAGCATCTGGAGTGATTGAAGTGACCCAAGAACCCCAGTTCCCATGTCACAAATGAGGATCCCACATAAGAGGCATGGCCAGATGGTTGGGGTAGCCTGATTGCTATGGGGAAGGGATATGATGCAGAAGGAATTGTTTCCCCCTCTTTATCCCCAGCCTTGGAGAAACCTCGTGTGCTTCATCAGCTGAAGTTGGCGCAAGATGAGTGCCCCCTAACAAACAAACTCACTGATGAGTGCCCCCTAACAAACAGCTCATTGTGAACATGCTGAGAATACCAGGGGCTGCTGGGGGCAGGGCAGCCTGGTGGTGAGAACGCAGGCTCTGGGGTCAGGCAGAGCTGGTTCGAGTCTTGGCTCTGCATCTTCCAAGATGCACACCTCTGGGTGAGAGCCTTAATCTCACCAAACCTCAGTTGTACCATATTCACAATATCCCACCTCTGAGGCTACTGTAGGCAGCCAATGAGATGACATGGATAGTCCCAAGAGGTGGCACATGGTCACTTCTAGGAGAAAGGACATCAGGTGTGTGTAGAATGTAGTGTGGGCTTGGGGTGGGAAGTGAGGGAATGGTGAAAGAAGATGAAGGGAGGTGAGGAGAACTTCCAGAAATGAAGGAAGCGACTCTTGTTACAAGAACAGCTGACAGGTTATATTAGCCAGCGTTCTCCAGAGGGACAGAACTAACAGGATAATGTGTACATATAAAGCGGAGTTTAGTAAGGGGTATTAACTCCCACAATCATACAGTCCCACAATAGGCTGTCTGCAAGCCAAGGAGCAAGGAAGCCAGTCCAAGTCCCAAAGCTGAAGAACATGAAGTCCGATGTTCGAGGGCAGGAAGCATCCAGCGTGGGAGAAAGATGTATGCTGGGAAGATAGGCCAGTCTCATCTCTCCACATTCTTCTGCCTGCGTTTTATTCTGGCTACTCTGACAGCTGATTCGTTGGTGCCCACCTGGATTAAGGGTGGGCCCATTCTCTCTCTGTCCACTGACTCAAATGTTAATCTCCTTTGGCAACACCCTCACAGACACAACCAGGATCAATACTTTGCATCCTTCAATCCAATCAAGTTAACACACAGTATTAACCATCACACAGGCCCACAGAGCTGGACCCCATCCCAGACG